AATTTATTGACAGTATCCATGATGGAGCAATGTCGATAAATGAAAATGTGGAGCTTCGCTTAAAGACGTTTCAACTGGTTGATTTTTATAACACTGTAATCGACTCTCAAACAGTGCACAAGACGCTGGTTCAAATAGTATACAAATTTGAATTGTTGTATGATACGCAACAATCGGCCTTTTCATTTGCACACAGCTTATGCATACATACTTCGGATTTATATAAGGTTTGAGTTTGATGCCTTAGCGTTGTGACAGAAGAGCGAGTGCTGTCTCAAAGTCTACCCATTGCACTATGTGAGGTGATACGGTAATAAGTTACCTGGAGTACTGGCAATCCGTCATGGCACAGTCCGCCTGCATATCGGTCGTAACGTGCTCCAACCGAATTAACACGGCGATTAGCCTAACAGATATTTAAGGCTCCCAGTATCCTTTTTGTCTTCCAAATGGAAATATTGTCTATCGCTTCTAATGGTCCTGATCACCGTAAGAAATTGCCCTATCTAGGTGGTCTGTGATATTTTAGCATCATATGTTGTATATACTTCACCCCATTCTATACTGGACACAGTGTATTTGTCTCTCAAGTTTAACATGTCATCAAAACTGCGTGGTGTAGCATTCCTGCATTTCTAATGAATTTCGTTGTCACTGCTACACCTTTTCCTGGTCGACGGATCAATATTTTCTACCTTATACTGGTCAGCAGTCTGTGGTACCTTCGACACGTGCATGACATGGCTATTTAGTACTAATTCAGACATGACTCTTAGTTTATCAACAACTGAGCTCGCGCGTAACCTTCCGTTTACATTTTATATAGCCTTTCTAATTCCATCGTTTTCTTATACAACCTCGGTTCATTTTCATGACTGTCAGTATGGCCCGGGGTAGTCAGTAGGGTAACACTGTGCGTATTCTGCCAAATACGGTCTTTTGTTTCTCGAATGTGCTGCATTGTAACTCATTGTTCAAAAATTCTGACGGCTAGGGTTACTCTTACGTTCTGTAGATTCAGCTTATGACCCCTCTTCGGTCTCCGGTACGTTTCTGATATTTTGTGATATTGTTGTTACTGAAATTTCGTATAATATATTCGGTATCCCCAGAAGACTCGAAACATGATTAGTCTGCTACAGTCCGCAGCGATTCGGTATAAAGTTGTCTAAATGCACCAGCCGACTTGTACGTAAGTTTTGTCCAGCGTGAACTCTAAGTATTTGAATTATTCTTTTTTTTATTGTACTTTTGGAGAACTTAAATGTGAGCTAACGTACGTTGTTGTATTCAATATCAGTTTGATGTCCTGGTAGATATGTGCGGCTAGATCTTCCGCGAAAAATAACGCTGTTATCCCGAATCTCATTCACTCTGGCATTTTGTATTGAATCGTGGCCTCCTATTATTTCTTCATGTTCCTATGTGCTTGGACCGCTTGTTTCACCTCTCCGGACTGTTAAAGCGTTGATTCGAGCGCGCTGATATTCATCCTATTATCCATAGGCTTATCTCTTTCAAAGTTTGGTAATTTTTCAAATTCACTTGATTTTTCGCTTAACCATTGGTTACTTCGTTTGCCGCCTCCTTAGCGCCCATTGGTCGTATTCGCGTGTTATTCTTTGGAATTGCGCTTTAATGATCATGACATACAGTAATAGTAATAATGAAAAGTAATATTATAAATCTGATCCTCTACATAGAATCTTGGTATCTTATTGCTATGCAGTCTGAGACAGAGTTATGTTTCGTATTTCTTCCTTATTGCAATTAATCTCTTTTCAAGAAATGAATGCTTGTTAGAGCCTTTCCCTGTAATATTTATTTTTAGAGAAGGCAGAGAGGTCCGTTCCGACCTTTGCCTACGTATTCTGCATTATAAAAACCTTCTTGTACTAGTTTCACTTTTATATTTTCTAGTATCGGTAAGAATATATAGGTTCATAGACCTATCTCAAAAGTAACAACCGTCCTGTTTTTATCTTCATCATTATATTAACTGAGTTATTCCATTTTGATCTCAGCTTCTTAGTCTCCGTTAAGTGTATTTCAGTGTTACTAGTGCAATGCGTCCTTCTTATGCTATATCTAATGCTATATTAATTTATTTTTATTTATCGTTACTCTTACCATTCGTATTAGTACATTTCAAAGCTTTTTTGCAATGGTTTACCTGTCTCGACGACTCTTGTCAATAGTGTCTGGCATTCCCTAGATTTATGTGGACCGTACCCACTACCACTGCCACTCGCATAATCAATTATGCCACACACACACACAGGTTCTTAAAGTCTTTTTTAGATTTTTACTGCCTAAACATTTCTATGGTTGGCGTTAGGTGGATGTCATAACTATTATTATGAATGTCTATTTTACTCTTCCTGCTGTCCTGACCAGCTGTGCTTTCGAAGTTTCTACTATTTCCTTAGTAGCTGCCTCTAGATGTTGGTTTTTCTTTTCAAAGTGAACACATGTCGACCGGTTTGCTGCTGTTATGGTGGGGGTCTCTGCTTTTGGATGGAATAATGGTTTGCAGATTATGCTGCTATCACTTGTGGGAGGAATTCTAAATCCTAGTGTTTCCTCCATTACCTTTATTGTCTATTTTCTACTTGCTATTTGGTCGCCGATTATAACTTTGTTTATATCTACTGTCATATAGTACATAACATGCATGACTAAATACATCAAAGTTCTTCATAACTTTGATTAGGTTAGTTAAGTCTGTTTCGAAATTTTTTTCGTGCATCATTCGTAGATTGTCTCTTCCTTGTTTCTGTAAGACAGTGCCTGGCATGCAGCTCAATACTAAGTTACCCTATGATATAACCGCATTCGTGACACTAATACTGCTTAGATGTCAATTTCTTATCCTCACATAACTTCTTGGATATGTTCCTTAAGCGTTTGTAGTGCCTATTTTAAAGATCCATCTGCGATATTGAGATATGTTGCTGACACATTCTGACCATTATTTATGAAATATCTTTTATACAAACTAGTCACAAGTTGAAATCCATCGTTTCATACTAAAATACATGGAAAGCCAAACCTTCCACATATATCGAAGTCTTTGTGCTCATTGTCACTGGGAACACGTTTCCTGGTTTAGCTTTTATCCGTTTGGATGTGCTATAATCAATTGGTCGTGTTCATTTAAAGGCCCTGCACAATCCACGTAAAATCTATGTCAATTCTCATTCATTTCGCATTAGTATTTAACTTTTGTAGAACTAATAACTTGATTCGTTTTAATTATCCATCGTTCGCTATACATTTTAGCCATCGTTTTCTATCGTAATTCCCTATGGATTTATGCTCCGTTACCTGACAATATTACTTATCTACAGGGCGAATTCGGACAACATAGTTAATCGTGATAAGCTTAGTCAATTCGTCAATAGAGATCAATCGAAATAAAAATAACAGTTTTATATTGGAATCTGTTTTATTTAAATTATATCAGAGATCGTATGGAATTAATCCTTTGCTCAACTCGAGCTCCAGCAATACTTTGACGTAATATATAATATGAGTTACTTTATGCAACTAAATGCCGAGTGAAATATACGAGTGAAAAATTAAGCCGTCTATTCATTTAAGATATGGTGGGGCTTTTTAAATTGTTTGGAATTAATTACAGGCCTTTGGTGATGTCAGCTAATTTTAGCTAGTTGGTAAGTGGAGTTAAGATAGGGCTAGGAATTATTTCGGTTTTGTAGCGTCTAAACTTACAGCCAATAGGTGATAATATCTTCAAGCTCATTTTAAGAATAATAATTTTAAGCTCATAACCGTAAACTTTTCGTCTAGTCATCTGGCCTGCGGCATTATGCTATGTAAAAGTGGAGTTGTTAATGGACTAGTCAATTTATCGACAATCTAACGTAACTACGACGCCAACTGGGCTAGGGGAAAAGATTCACAAGATACTTCCCGTAGAAAGCACGCACGGTCTCTAACATGCTTATGAAAGAAGCAGTGTGAATATGCAACCAGTGGTTGAGCGACTTGATCTGATGCCAGCATTCAGATTTAAAATTGAAGACATTGTTCTAAAAATATATTCGAGCTAACATTTATCGCCAGTCGGCCTTATAATGGTATGTAGTCTACAATTCGTTTAATATTTCAATTATTATTATAAAGATTAAATTTTTATTGTCATTACTTGCAATGAATGTGGCGATTAGGTGCCGGTATGGAGACAGCATCTATCGATTGGCCGTCAGGTGGCCCTTTGTAGCAGCCACGACGGCTGGAGGGCCGCGCGCAACTTACAGAAACAGAAATGAGGCATTCCATTCTTCAAGACTTGCTATATCCAACTGTATAAAAGGCTGGACACAGTGTGAACCAGCTACAATATTCTTGCATATCCAATTCATGTGTGAGGCTTGAATTGGTATGTGAGGCCCACCGATGGGGCACTAATGCTCTGGAGTCCTTTCGTAGCGATTCAGAGCTTCGTGACAGCTCCTAAAATTCAACTGTTTTCACTCATGTTGTTTATCGCGAGCGTGAGACATCGCGGGTCAACTGGGAGACGCGCGTTGCCATCAGTGACGTAAATTGAAGTGATCATAAGGAGAATGTGGAAACTGAAAGGGCCGCCGTGGCTGTGACCACAACGCATGCGTAAAAGCAAATGTATTCGAATCATTATGCGGCTCCATCGCTGTATCCAACACAAAGACTTGAGGTGCCACTATAAGCTGAAAACCGACTGGCAAAACTAACTCTTGATCAGTAAGGCTTACGTTGGCATTGTCTGATTGACTTTGCCATGAATCATCATAACTACGAACAGCATCGAAACGGCGAAGAGACGATGTGCATCTCGTATCTACGGCTTCCCGTTTCTCATCAGTTTCAAAAGGTTCACGATGGCCTTGGATTTGATTGTCGAGCACGTCGAAAGCACTTCAGCCAGCTTCGCACAATTCCTCCATCCCTTCCTGGGCGTCTGAAGTAGCAGTGAGATGACCACGCCCCTGCGTTAATGACGGTCAGTGACCATAAGGAAGCTGGACATGATAATAAACATATCGCTTTCCTATTTAGCTAGTGATATTAGCACGCATAACAGTGAACACGCCATGGTTAGAAAAGTCGTTTTTTTTTCTCAAAGGCGGCACGGATGAAGCAGTTTATTGACGATCTTGCATATCAATGGAATCAACCAGGCGAGGTGACGTGTATTTCATAGGAACCACGCACGCAGCCTCTGAGATGTCTAGGAGTAAGAAATAAGAAAGTACAATTGATTGTTGAACTGCTTGACCTAACACAAGTTATTCAATATAAAAGTAAAAACATTTTTTAATAATAGATTTGAGGTAACATTTATTACTCTGTGACTGCGTATCCGCGGTATGTCTGTACTTCCGTGATTGATGTTATTTTCTCTAGGCATTTCACGATTTCATTTTTAAAATAAGTTCAAAGGAATCGGTCTGCTGTTACAAAATGTAAAATTTTTGTCATTAACTCGAAGATTGTTATCGTTAGGGTGTTATAGCATGAGCTTTTCATTGGTAACTACTTACGTTACTACTTAGATCTATGGGTAAAAAGACACTGCTTAGAGGAAAAGATTGGGGGCAACAATGCTTATCAAAGGATATCTGAGCCCATTGCCTACAACTTAAGAATACGTACAAACCCCTAAAACATAGTGAATACAAGATGTTCTTGTCGCCTCAAAAAGAATCTATAAAACATTAACTGATTTATTTTTAATTTCTGTCCGTTTTTCATCGCCAGCAGTTAAGGTCTTTCAACGGACATCCGGTACATATCTTCTTTTGCATAGCAAAATCAAGCCAATGGTCATATCGCGAACCACAAATCAGATCCAACAAAGCGCTAATATGATTAGTGGTATGGTTATGCAATCGGGTCAACATTCTTCTTTACTACCGAATGCTTCTCAAACTTTTTTAAACTATTTTCCACTACTATTTAAACTATTTTTTTTTAAATAACAAAGATCGAATAAATTAGTCAATCGCGTGTTGCAACTGCATTGCTCACTCATTATATAATACAAATATGTTTTTCACAGAAAAAAATAATGTTAACATGTAGTCCTGCAAGCATATTTGTCCTATTTGAATTACCGGAGTTCTTAATACACAGAGTTTAGGTCTACTTCTATCACCTAGGTATCTCGCTATATTGCTTGAGAAGACGCTTCTTAATGAAGTTATAAAGCTCTAAGTCGTTCGTCAGGTTAAGCCTCAGCTGGAGTTTTGCCTCAAATGTTACGTTTGGTTTATCCGGATTTACATTGTAAGACCCTGAAAAACATATGCATATGTTAATTAATCTGATGCTCTAAAAAGATAGTAATTATTTTACTCACCTCCGAGCCTGTGACTGACCTCTTATGTAGAATGAAAAAGAGGCGCTTTTGGTAACGTTGTTGTACATATTGCAAAAAGCTGTGGGCGCTCTTAGCTAAACTTGAAATGCTCAGCAATCGAAGGTAAAAGTTAATGCGTTCATGTTGCGCATGTCTATTGCTCGCGATAATACTAGGAATCAGGATAAAAAACCAGCAACAGGTACTTCGTGTCCATGAAAACCAAATTTAGCTTTACGGAAACAAGAGCATACCAAGAATACCTTAACATCTTGAGCTAATGCTCAGTCGAACTTTTTAACTAACACGAACGCATGGAGATAACCGTATACATAAATGATCATATTGCCGGCGAGCGTTGCTTTGTATCTAACGCTTGCCGTCACCTCTGTGGAACAAAGCGTTTTAGAACGCCAGTCCACAAATATATCTGCTCAAACCTTAAGTTCTTTATAATAATACGCCATCAGTTCAGTTAAAATGGATGTAAATTTTAAATTCGATGTGTACTGCAGCGGTGCGGCCTGGACGACTGATGCGCATCTTTTTTGGAGTGCGTTGACGCATAGATTCTAAACAGGATCAGACTGAATCTACCTCCGGACAATGTGCTTAACTAGCATATAATTTAAATTGCTCTGCTGTAATGTAGATCTGGCCAAAAAAACTGAGTTGTAGTCGATAATGTCGACCCTTTAGAGCGCAACCAAACTAACAATAAAAAATTATTGATTCGATTGTTTACACCGATTTTCCATCTTCTTCGATGAATATTTCAATGAAAGAAATAAAACTGAGAATCCACTGAAAAGTATGGATTGCTAAAACGTAGTTCTTACCTATTTGTCCGCACACCTCAGAAGCACTTTGAAAGAATATTGGAAGTCGGTGTTGCAGTACGGCAACTGTCTCTGGCAGCATCTCAACTAGTCCTACCACGTCGTAATATAGTTCGATATTCCGTTTAGCATGCTGAAGCGCCCATGGATCATTGACGACCCTAATAACAGGAAATGGCTCATTAGGGAAATAAGACTAACGTAAACAATGCGTCTCCATAACAAGAGTACGGTCGAAAGTAGATGTGCCCGAAACATAGTTGCTACTTTTCATAAATAGCACGTAAATCTTTCGAGAGGTATCGAATTTTACTTATTCCATGTTTCCTTGCAACAAACTAAGCGAAGAATACGCGAAACAGTTTATTTCCAAATAAAAGTCATCCTGGATTTGCTGGTACTAGAAACAACTCTATATACACTTCAAGTGTATTATGCCGTGTGTCACTCAAATTTAACAAATTCTAATAAAGGTACGAACGAGCATCTTATGTTGTGACCGCAGAAGTAGGGTACCATGTGGCCTATTTGCGTGTAGCCTGTAACGTAACGACACTCAGCATCTCCTCGCCGAATACATTCCTCGATCGGCTATGAGAACATAGAGCGAAATACGACTATTGTAGTTATCATGTTTTTTAGTTCCTGATAGTTCGTAACGTAACTGCTATTGCAAGAGTTATGCGAGCAGAAAAGGAAATACATGCACACAAATCAGAAATATGCTATAAAGTAAAATATCACCTACTGGATTGGATTTACTGCAATTATGAACCCATAAATTTTGTACGAGCTGTAAAAAATTGAGATTTTGATTTTTTCAATAGGAAGCCAAGTCACAAGTCATTGCTCGTCTAATAACTGTTAGAAGCACACCTGGTAAGCATGTGATAACTATACTTTACTTATTTTTAAACTGAACAGTTTTTCTTAGGTCTAACTTATTATTACATAAGGTAATGAATCGAACGATATATTTGTAAACGGACCTTGTTAAGCCAATATAGGCTAGGCGTTACCGACGAGCTATCGAGGTTCTTCCGAGCTACCGCCCTCCTGTAGTAATAGTCGGACACTACTCGTTCAACTGGATCCCTTACTACGTTTATAAACACGGGCGATGCTTGACCCAATCTAGACGATACTCCAATGACAAAAAGACTATGTCAACTGAGTTTGAGACCGTTGTTAAAATGGAGCTAGCTGAAGGCAGGTAACTGAAATTATAAAGGGCCGGATTCCAGGCGTGATTGTGTCATTGTGCAACCAATCTTTAGAGGAAACAAGTTCTTCTTGATGGTTTTCAAAAACACAGGTCACAGAGTTACAAGTGTCATCAGCTAGCTGCCAATGCTGACAGCCAATGACATTTGACAACATTTTTATTCTTAAGCTATTTTCACAAAAATGATCTGTTGAAGGTCAGTTATCTGTGGCAAATTATAACTTCACTAACATGAAGACGTTAGTGCAATTAATGCATGAAGGCACGCATTTACGAGGAAGCATTCATACTATAAAAGCAAGAAAACATGTTCGAGATATGTTTCTGATTTTAGCAAGTAGCAGAGAGTCATTCTGCATCGCATAGAAATTGATTGGCTGGTGCTGACTCTTCTACACTAACAGCTGACGGTTGCAAGATGTATTATTTCCTGTACACTCATGATCACCACAGTAGTCTGCATCCACATGTCTTGCATATTTTTATACCTTATTTTTATATTGCATTCTAGCAGCGTGGTAGTAACTTCTATTTTCTTAATAGTAAAAACTTTTCGCTTGAATCTTAGCAGTAAAGGCAGTAAAGCAATAGGCTGAAAAATGGGTAGTTCCGTTCTTTTTTTTTTAATGTACAGTTTTTCTTGTATCTTTCCACCGCTGATTTGCTCTATACGCTACTCGAAAGTGCTCTCTCTACTCTGTAAGGGAGCTGCAACTGTGCAGAGATAAAGATTCGAGGAAAACAAAAGTGCATTTGCGACATTTACTTTATTGTGCTTTTTGCAGACGTCAAAAGAGGTATAACGAGGATTCTAACTAAGAAGATTGCTAAAAGGAATTTGCTAAGTTCAAAGATGGAAGCTTTGACCTAAAAAGTGTACCTCTTTCTAACCAGCCATATAGATCGACGAAAACCACGAATAGCAAACAACTCGTTAATTGGTTGGGAAAATAAGCTCCAAACACTAGACTATTCCCAGACATCTTGAATGCACGTAATTGTGTCAGAAATTAGGGGTCTGGATGTGTCATGGACTGTTTTCATTGACCTCGACGCGTTGATCGGCGTCTGACAACACGTAGCCACAATGGCAGGTTTTTATGCAAATTTACCACCGGTGATCGAAAAATGGTGTTTCCGTATCAACAAAACCAGACAACGTGATAGGGCACATACCCAGGTCCATAGTTAAATCGGATTTCCATTCCAAAAAGACAATGCTTTGGGTCTGGAGGGATTGAGAGGGTCTTATACACTGCGAAGTGTTTAGGAAGGACAGAATACGCAACAGAAATCTCTATATAACCTATCTGTCTGGGTCCAGTGAGCGAGAATATTCAACAGAAAAAACCAGATAAGCGAGGCGAAGTTATCCATGAAAAGACCAGGCCTTCTGCGGCGATGACGCTCTGCAGGAGCGAATGTGTACGCTTTTTTGCACCCACCGTATTCTCCAAATCTCGTCACGATGAACTACCACCTAACCCGATTATTGGAAAGTAAAATTCGTAATTGTAAGTTTAACAATGGTTCTTAAAGGCCTTCGAAACCTGGCTAGACGAGCGCTTCAAACACTTTAGCACCTCTAACAAGAAGAAGTAATCGAATTTTTTAAGAGATAAGGATTGACCTAGAAGAGCAACGGAAGATCGAATCCTGATATGAGCAAAATGTGTTGAGTAGGTGTTAAAAATGCACTTCTTTTTTTCGTCTGGAACTATTATTCTTGGAGCCTAAACTCCACAAAAAATTTAATTTCGACCGCACAATGGAATCTGCACAATGGACTTTCAGAGGAGCACTTTTGAGGGGTATATGGATGTAAACGAACAGTAAAAAAGTAAACGGGAACATTAAAACGGAAATTATGCTCATATTTAATATAATAATGTTCGGACTTTAACTTGGGGTCATTCTCTAGAGTCCTCTACATTCTGTCTTTTACTTCTACTCTCAAGACACCGTTGGTTGAGCGTGGGTCTCACGTTTTCGCCTTGTATTCAATGACTGATCCCACATTCATTTCATTGTCTGCTACAATAGACCCGCATACCCTCTCGACTGTATAAAGTCAACCTGCCTTAAGCCCTGAGCTCCATGTTTTAGCCAGAAACTACTGGTCTACTGACTGTATGAAACACTACAGTTTGTTAAAGAGCTGTAAGTACGGTTTGGTAAACTAAAAAAAAAACGATAGACCCAGACTTCTACAGACTCAATGCAATGACTGAGTCCGCATGGAAGGACAGCAGAAACACAAGTCGATACGTCGTCATTCGTTATGCAGTTTCCGGATTTAATCACATCTGTCCGGCATTCCATTACCTCAACTCGGGATAGGATAGCTGCTGCTATTCGATTTGAAGGTCCCTGCATTCGGTATTATTTCGAGCACAGCGACTGATGATTTAAACAATGTCCAAATGTAAAAGTAGATTATTTTTCACAAGATTTTACACAAGATATTTGAAAAGGTTAAACATAAGCTCAAAAAATTGAAGAGTTTTTAATTGAAATATCGGTTTTCACATAGGATAACAAGGAGGTTGCTTGACCTGCTCATTATTTAAATTATATTTTGAAGATCTCGATCAAATATATTCTGAAATAGCGGAATAATAATTATGAGTTTAAAGTAACTAGTACCGTGGGTACTGCTTAATTGCAACAAGAACGCGGGACAAAGAACTGAAACAGAGTTATGGAATTATGGAATGATACAACAATTTAACAAAATGACTGCAGTGAGTGATTGCAATAAAACAAAGCTAGCTGCTAAAGCCGCTTTACACTTTAGGTACTAGCTAAAGCGTAAGATAGCAAGACAGTGTTAGGTAGCATCTAGTGTTAGGTAGGGAGTTTATATGTAATACGAATCACATTCGGAAAAGAGGATAAGACGTAACCCCGGGGAGTAAAAGCTGGTCGTAGGTAAATATAAGCAGATGTATGTTTAAAGCTCTTCGTCATTATACAAATCGAACGACAGTAGCCATTTGCTCTAAAGGATAATAGTTAATAACAAAATAATGTTATAATTTCTATATTTACTAATACGGAAATTAATTTTTGTAATTTAGGAATTTCGCGGGTTGATTTAAGATAATCTACATGTGCTCCCTTAATCTGCAGGATTAATGCTGATCAGTATTGCAATATTTCGTTGACAGGCTTTAGTTGCCAAGAGTATGAGAAATCGGTAATTAAGTTACTTGAGCCAGTGAGGGCCGATTTTGAATCAGTAGGAGTAGCAAGATTGTTGATTGAAAACTGTATTTCTGTTAATAAAAAAAAACTCCCAATGTAAACGTTCTCAAAAGTTTACGCGTTTCTGATGTTATTTCAAAAAAGGTAGTTTCAAAGTTTGGAATACTATTAAAATATTTTTATTTCATACACAAGAAGATATTTTATAATAGTCATAATTTTAATCAATGCTGAATAATTCATTGCATTATTCAGCTAAAGTAAGCACTTACATATTGCGTCTTAAATATGGAACTGTGGTCCAGGTGAGAGTCGTGATTTGCCTTATGTAGAATCAAACTCAATAGAGGGCGAAAATTTAATCTGGCAAAAAAAACTTTCGAAATTTTGTGGGTTCTCTCGAAAACGGGGTGTTAAGAGATTGTGACTTGTCTCGGACACTTTTCTCTCTGAACAGACGGTACAAATTCAAGAGGAATTGAGCTAACAGTTAATTCGTTTCGATGCTTTGTACTAACATATACTCACAAGGTTTGCGAAGCGAGATTAAGGAATAAAGAACATGTACGAGATTCGCGTTAGGAACTAATTTCCACACACTAAAGTGACGCGGACTATCTGTAGAAATGAAATCATGGGCAGAATTTGCTTTGGAAGATTCCGCAGCAGATAGGATAAAATTAACGACGAGCCTCGTTTGACCCCTATATCTATAGTGGACAAAAATAAAAAAAGGTTTTCTCAATTAATGGATTACTATGGATAAAATGGAAATTTATGCGGATTAAGGGGATTATCAAGTTTGACCCGGAATTGCTGAACTTTCAACGGCAAGACATCCATTGCGATTTGTTCCACCACCACTGTTAAAGACTTGAAAGGGTCGTCACAAATAACGGTTCACAGGTTTGCAACAGGGAAAGTAAATTCCTATCTTTGTAGAGATGCTCCAAAGAAAACCTACGGTTAATGTGGGACCAAACTTGAAGTGCTCCTTGCTTTTTTTTCGTGGTTGTACAGTCATTAGTCGTATCTCACCGCCAAGTTTAAAACCGCCAAGTGTAAAAAAAGATACGTGTAGGTTTGTCAGCTGCAAGAGACCGCAGAACTTTTACAACTGAATAAATATTTTTGCTGTAATATGTCGTAAACTTTTTAATCAGCAATCATATTTCGTATCGCCTTTTTTTTTTAATCAATCTAGCATGTACATTCAACCCTGATAATTTCTATATAGGCATATAATTTCACAGAGCGTACAGATTGAAGTTCACGAAATGGACGTGTCGGTCAAAGCTGGCTGGCGGAACAGCTTTGGTTACGTTCAGAACAAGTTCCAGTTGCTCACGGTCCGTTAGATTACGCCGATTGTAGACAACAGAAGAATAATGCGAAAAATGGTTGCGCTCCGCCAATCGGTGTAAAATTGACAGCATTGTAGTACCAGCTGTTTTGGGAATCCGGTTGTAATAAAGCCGTAGGGGATCCAGTAATAGCGGAGGTATCGTTTGATTGTAGAATAAAGCATTAGACGTGTAATCTAGATCGAAAAAACAGACAAACATAAAGTATTTATTAAAATAATTTCGAAAACCGTAAATTGCCAGCTCGTTCAATATATTGTACGGATGTTGTGCGCCTACACATAATTATTTTGTAGCCCAGTTATAAGACTTACCAAGTCTTTAGAAAGTAACAAAAGTAAAGTTTTTCAGACCGTTTCTCTTCTGCAGAGTTTAACCTTATAGGTCATAGAAGTGAATGAATTCCAGCTTAGGCGACACTTTCCGTTGTTTTTAAAGGATTATTAATGCTTCTTTGAATATAAATGATTTGGCTAGCGGTAAACCTTAAACGCCCGATCGGGTATCTCTGAGTAAAACAAGAGCAACCTTTATTAGTTCTTTTAAAAAACAATCAATGAGTGAAATTTTTCATCCTCACTCAGCCTTAAGTTGATGATAGTTAATGATAAACACGTCGGAGATGCCGGCCTCACACCTGACTTGATTTAATATATATAGTATAGTAATGCATCAAACATTACTGCATTTCTAAAAGCAAGTAACACCGGCAGTGCGCTAAGAGGAATGAATCAACTGCAACGCATCCAGAAAGGACTTCGTCGACTAAAGGAGTTATGGCTAAAGTATATATATATATATATATATATATATGTGAAAAAGTTTTTCTCGACATAATAACTGACCGTAAAAATTATTGTTTACTTGTGCACGATCTAGTGATGACAGAGAGATCTAGAGACAGGCTAATAGTCATGTTTTAAGCGTGGTATCCAGAGAAGGAGATGTCATTCCACTATGCTTCTTTCAAAAAATTAAACATATCGCGAACAAAGTTTACATGGGTGCTCTGCAAACTCTTGTAGAACCGTGGACTCTTGAAAGAGTTTGAAGGAAAGTTATACATCTAAAGGCAAGGTGGTGCGTTGCCTCATACTAGCCGCTTAGGGCAGGCTTAGCTATCCTTATGATAGCTTAGCGGGTAAAGCATTTGCCTGCTAATCTTGTTCGAATCCGGGCACAAACACACTTCATTTCGTGTTGAAAGCTAGTCGTCTCATGGAATGCTTAACGGCAATACCGGGCATAAAAATCAAAACACACAGCGAGGGTTTAGCTGGTCAAGAATGCATAGATCATGATCGTGAATGTTTTAGAATGAGTGCATATGGCCGCTTTACAGCCCACATTTGGATCCATTGAATTAGTATATATAAATTGCTATTGAACGAGACTTTTAAGTTTTGAAATAAGCACATCGACTTGCTGACCCTTTCTATCAAGAATGCGGTCATACATTTGCAAAGAAATACTTAAAATGGGTCTGTGAGAAATTAAGGTTCCGAAATAGAGCTATATTTGCGGCGGATATGTAATAATGGCATAATGCTGATTTGAGCATACTAACCATCTTTGGCAATTCATTCGACAACCGTAGAAAATTTCTGGCAGAACCGTATTGAAAAGTGGTTTATCTTTCAAGATTTACAAAATAGACACAACATTAGAGTTTAGGAAAAACGGTCGATTTCTTGTTTTGCACTATTGAGGGGAAAGGTAATGATCTTTGCAGAAACAGAACTGATGAAATATTTTCATTCTATCCTTCGATTAGACAAATGCTTTTTTCACTCATACGTAGGTTTGATGTAAACTTGGGTAATTTGTGCAATTATTTATGATTTTTTTCGTCGAGGATGAGGCATTTTTTTTTTATAGAGTAATGCTAATGGTAATTTTAACAAGCTGACCCTTTGTTAGCGATTTCTTCGACAACTGTTGAGGATTTTACCAAGATTATCATTGATTAAGGATTATCATCATCTTCGACTTCTATAAAATAGGCATAATTTAATATTTTTATTTTTCTTTTTTCCGTTATTCAGGGGTTAAATTGTAATTTTTACCGAAGTAGTTTAACATTGATAAAATATGGGTCATACTCTCTACATATCAATAATGCTCTTGGATAGGATGAACACTCTTTTAAAGGGCAATTCTTGTTCTCGCATAGGGGTCAATGTTAACTCGATTAATTCGTGAAACGATTGATGAAATTAAACAATCTCAGATTGCGGTTTATATTTTTCAATCTGATTCATTCTTTTTTGGAATAGGAATAACTAAAATGGAGAAATTGAGTAAATGCAACAATGTAACAAGATTATAACAGCGTTCTAACAGGATGAGGAGAATAACAATATAGAGGCACAACATCAATCTCACGTAAGCTCTTGGAGTGGCGGCAATTAAACCACTCTAGGAAAATTTCAATAAATTAAAAGGAAAATTTCCGCGCTTAAAAAAGCTTTTGATTGCCACTTGTCCTCACGTGTTTTATACTTCTAATCTATTTCTCAAAAGCGCCCTCCCTGCTCTGTCGATGCGCTGTAACGGCGTATTATGAATGCAACATCTACCCGAAACTGCTCCTCAAAAACGAATGTCCCAGTGCATTCTGGATACCTTCTGTCCTACGGAAAACACAGGAAACTAGCCTTGTGTACGGTAGCGACGCTATTGCTAAAAGGAATGCTCAAGACTGGTTTGCCAAGTCTGGAAACGGTATTTGTGACCTAAAGAATGATGACCGTTTGGATTTGATGATGACAGTCTAAAGGCAGTTGAAGGAAGACTGCCGACAAATAACATGGGCATCAACAGACTTCAGCCACACGACTGTCACTAACCACCTTAGGTCTCTTTGACCTACATAGAAATTCGGATTGGGTATTTCATAAACTGTCTGAACCCAACAAGGAGGTACGACTTGACATCCTAAGACGCATCTTAACATTGCCAAGAATCAAGCGTCACGCACTCACAATGACTGACTTTTATACAGGATTGCCACCAGCAATGAAAAATGGTATCTGTATGTTAGCTTAAATTACAGATAGAAATGTGCAGTTCCGGGTAAAACAGCAATGCCTAGAATCCAACCAGGTTTCCATCCAAAAAGGTTGTTTGATTGAAATGCAGATTCGAATGATTTGTGATGAAATCTGAACGATCTCAGCATATGGTTCACATCTTCAATTGGATGGATATTTTTTTTCGCGAGTGAATTTTATCTTTTATAGAGAGTAATACAAATTTAGGCAGATCGGTTTTTTGACAATTTGTTCGATAACCAACTTTTCAAGGTTTATATTAATGAAATATTTTTTTCAAACTTAAGGTACCCGCAAAATAGGATTTTGGAAGAGAATTTCTGTCTACAACTGTTTGTTAATGTGGATTAATGCGATTCTACTAGGTAGAAATCGATTCAGCCATGATGCATTCTTAAGCAAAACACAATTAGAGGTTTTGCTGTATTCTTTTTGCTTACTCAAAAGCTTTTATCAAAGTAAAACGTAGGTACAACAAATCATTGTGTAAATTAAGCTCGACTGGAGTAAGTACACCGAGTAAAGCGTTAAATATTATTTATAAACTATTTATAAATAAATAAATAAACGATTAAATATTATTTAAAAAATAAAACGATATAAAGTTTAATGATCAATTAGTTTCTCAAAAAGGAGTATTCCGTAGGGCGTCGTTATTGACTCAACTCGATTTAATATATTTAGTTGAAACAGCAGCGAAGACAATTCTTTTAAATTCTCTTGTTTTTTTTGTCTCTCCGTTATTTATCTTCCCCCATTGACCATTCAGAAATGCTCTATCTTTCCTTCATAAATCTGTTCACACTTCATTATGCAGGGAAATTAATTTTACCTCGACTTTAAACACTACGGTGGGTGTTCTTGTGAAAAAAAAAAACTTATTTTCGTTATTCATTTTACACATTTCACCTTTTTTGAAAGCAAAAGATCTACCGCAGTAGCCCGGGATCTAGGCTATGTGATCTAGGCCTAATGATTAGGCCGAGTACAGTATGGACTCCATGTTTGAAGCAACTGTTTAAAAGTGAGTTACAAAATTTAATAATGGCATCTTTGAACTAGAGCATGTATCTCACCCGATCAGCCGTCCGAAGTAAATGAGAACTCTTATCTCCATCCTGAAAAGACTACGATTTGCGTATAATGGGCCTGGAAGGTACTTACTGGTAAATTCTCGAGGAAAGTACAGCGGTTAACGAAGGTACATTTATGGGACATTTGTATCGACTGAAGAAGATTACCCGACATAAAGGCTCGATAGGTAAGGCAATCCCTCCCAACAAACAAACCACAAATGGCAAAGGCCATTACCGAAGTGCGATAGCTTGAGTGGAAAATGATGTCGTACCAACTACTTTTTTCTCACCTTGCACCAACCGATTAACATGTTCTCCGTTTACTGACGACTTGAATTCATAACAAAACATCTGAGAGTCTACAAAACTGATTACATGAGGTTTTCAATACTAGGCCTCAACATTTCTGATAAATAAATTTGGCATGGGAGTCTCAGACAGAAACGGCGATTATATAATAAATTAATTTGCTGCAGGAATCCGAGTAAAATGCTGTGTTTTTTCTAGTTAAAAATTTCCGTCACTGACGTTCTACCTTGATATTTCCTTTAAATTTAGAAAATATTTTACCAGCAAAAGCAACGTGTTTTGTGCGGGTTATTCCAAACTATACTTAACTACTTTATGATAAAGAGAGATGCATCCTGCAGGCAGCTATAAACAGAGTTATAGAGCGATGCGCTAACATCGATCTGGTAATCTCAGTATCCATGCGTTCAGCATCAAGGACCAATATTATTTGCAATATATATATATATATATATATTGTAAACGCTATATCTTAGAAAAGCATAGCTTGAATGGATAAGTCATACCGTAGTAAAACATCTTGATAGTTAAGGCTGAGCTAGATATCCGTGTGCACATTACGTTGTAAGTGGTACATCCTACTTATTGACCTTAGTTGAAACATGGTCTTTTGTAGCTTCATAGTTACGAATCGTCGCATAGTAGTGTCACAATATTAAAAGTTCTGCGTTGTTTCCAAGATGCTTTGTTTAGAAAAAAAACCACAAAACGCTTTTGATGAAATACGATCTAAACTTA